ATCAACACAATGATTTTAAAGATAACTTAGGTCACAGACGTGATGACGAAAGCTGATGGTGATTCCACAATCTAGTCTTGGCAGATAGCAGCAGAATCCGAAAGAAAAGTTAAGAACTGTTCTTAGCAACCTGCTTCTGTCTTTAGTCAGTCTTGGTTTAAAATAAATTCTGAAGCTTTTTTCTTTTTTCTGAACTACACCCTGGGGTCTGCTTTTCCCTGCCCCTGTGCTCTGAAGTGCAGAGCATGGAGAAGTCGAGAAGAACTCAAATACTATATATAGCACCCTCGCTGACTGTGGAACTCTGGCCCGACTCTGGTGGTCTAATGGGGAGGCAAGTTTTCCAACTTCTCTGTGCAAAAGCTGTGCTTGGGAAGTTTGTTAAAACTGTCAATTTCTTGACCCATCATTCTGCTTAAGAAGGGCTGAGTGAGGTCTGAGAATCACAGTTAAGCAATCGAGACACATGTTCCTTCTGGGCAGAAGGGGCCCAGAAACACACTTTGAGAAACACCGGGACAGGGTAAATTTTTTGCTCACTGTTAAGAAATTGAAATAACCCTAATTTCCACGTGAGCCCATTGCCCTTCTATCATATCCAGTTAGGTAGAACTTTCCTCCTCTTGTGGACACTTTCTGAAAATGCTCTCTAAGGCACAGTATTCAGAGATGTAGGGCAGTGGTTCTTAATCTTGGCTGAATATTATAACCCCCTGCAGGGCTTTCAAAATTCTAATACCCAGGGTCCACTCCAGAATCAGATCAGAATCTCTAAGCAGGGGGCCCAACCAGTGGTATGTTTACAGCTCCCCAGGTGAGCCCAAGTGAGAACCACTTGCCTTTCTATATCTCAGACTTTACCTGTCCCAGCCCCTCCTGCTAAAGATGCCCTTTCAGCTCAGCTCCTTTCACCACCTCCCCTCCCCACTGCTCCTTCTGCCCTTTGGTGACTGTGCTGTAAGTCCTCCAAGTCCCCAGTGCAGTCCATTTCCTCTGTGAGTTGCCCACACCTCATCCCTCTGGGACTAACCACCCCATCACTGCTCCTGCTAGGCCGGGGGCACCTTGATGTCCCCGGGCCTAGGTGAGGCTGATAACAAACAAAAGACTTGGAGGATACTGAATGCATCTAAATGCAAGGCAGCAGTTTGAGGAGATGTTATTTTACTTATTTAAATGTGTCCTTATACTTCTCTAAATGGGAATAGATTGGTCTTAAAGGAACTGGCAGAGGCAATACCAAGACTACACAGCACTTCACTGCTTGCCAGCAAACTGTCTGACAGTTGGACAAAAAAGCTGAATTCCAACATGAAAATCTCCAATGGCCCCCCAAATCAGGATTGGTCCTTGGTTTTGCTTTTGCATTGCAAGGCGAGGAGATGAGGGGTTGGGTAGCAGTAGAGGTGGTAACAAAGTGGCAAAGTGTGTGCACATGTATGTGTATGTGTTTGTGTATCTATGGATGTGCATCTGTTTCTTCTGAATAAACACATCCTTCTATTAGAACACACAGAGGGCATGGCCTACTCCCAAGTGTTTTCCCCAAATCTTTAGTATGTTCTTCATTTCCAAGAAAATAACAATCAGTGCAAAAGGGATTGCAAAAAGCTTTAAATTTACATTTTATCCACCTGTGCATGTTTTATGAAACCCACTAGCAAGGAAATAACTTACATGAAGCCTTACCTTGTTAGTTTGTCTAATTAGTATAAAAAGCCTTGAAAAGAATTTCCAGTTGGCATTATTACTACATTCAACTACTCCTTGGAGAGTGTTCTCTTACAATGCGTGGAAATAGATTGTCTACCCTCATGCAATTAGTTACAAAACAACTGGCATGTATAATCAGGGGCCAGTATTCATGAATACAAAACATCTGTACTGCTCAGAGGTGGTTCTTTGTTGCAAATCACCTCTTTGGCAACAGTTAATTTCTGCAATTAAGAACATAGTCTCCCTCTAAAAATTCTGTCTTCAGTGGAAACTTTATACTAAATGATTTTGTGGGTGAAAACCTAAGTTTTACAGGACACATTCTGATGAAACCTTCAGAAAGTAGGCATAGGGGACACAGAAAACAGAAGGTGAGTTTCCATAAAGAAATGCTCTGAGCTTTAGGCTGATGGGGTGGGTTGACTTGTGGGCAAATTGTGACAAATAAGTTTCTGTGGTGTGATTCACATACATTTGATTTCTGAATACAGATTAAGTCTCGTTGGAAATTTCTGGGCAGTAGGTTAAATGAAATTTTGTTGATCAATACATATGACCCAAGGGCAATATCTGTTCCTTTTCATATCCTTGGATCTATTTGGTCTGTCTTGCCCTAAAACTTTGATTGGACCAAGAGCCTGGGGAACAGGGGTGAGAAGGGCTGGACTGGCCTCACTAGACCTTGAGTCATCACTCCCCCTTTTCATGTCAACTTACTAGTTCTTCTTTTAACTTTGGACATTGTCAAGATTATTCTCAGTCCTTTTAAATCCTGACAGAGCAGAGGACTGCAAACACCATTTTGCTTGATTAATGACTATATATGGCTGGAAATATTAAAGAATTAAAATATGAAATAACTAAGCAATTTTCTGGGGACATTCTGTGGGTTCTTCAACCATTATCAGTAACTGTGATGCAACGTGGTCTGTGCTGTGAGGATGATGGCTCTCACGTGGTGGAGGCAGCGCATTACTCGGACGCATGTTTATCTGGGCCCACCTCCACCCCCAGAGTCTCTGACTCTCTGTGGCTGGGGATGGAGCTTAAGAATCTGCATTACTAACAAGTTCCCAGATGAGGCTGATGCTGCCAGTCCAGGGATCACATTTCAAGAACCACTGGTGTTGGAAAATACCAAGTACAGGTGGAACTCTGATGAGAGACACCATTTCTAGTTGCAAGGGAGGAGAGAAGAATATGGCGGAGGTGTTGACACCACATGTGGGATCTGAGCCTGTGTTCTTTGTCTTTTAACCCATCACCTCTGGGACAGTCAAGGGGAATATCAGGGGGAGGGAAGGGGTAAGAAAGTTCAAGGGCATTTCTTGGAAAAGATATTCCCAATTGTTAATGAGGAGGAGAAGACTGAAGATATAATACCAGTTTCCACTGGTAAGCGAATGGAACTTGATGAAACATAGTTTCTCTTATTTTCTTAAAATCAGTGTTAGTTATAACATAACAACTCTCAAATGGAATCTCCTAGAAGGATATGTGCAAGTTTTAGAGGACTGGGCCACTGACTAGAAAAGTTATCCCGTTAAATGCATGACTCCAATCACCAGCCACGTCCCAGATGAGAGCTTGTCAGGGAGGCCAGCGGCCGGTCCTAGCTGGCTGGTACAGTACGGATAGAAGAGAATGAGGGAACTGCACACACTTCGATTTTCTCCTCGCCTCTCAGGAACTCTGAAACGCCCACCATCTCTGCCTTCATCTTTTCATTATCATCAAATAATATTTCTTGAGTTTACTCATGCGCGTGGCCCTGTCTCCTTTCAATCTGCTCAAATTTTCTTCCTCACTTCCCTTTCTCTTCTTGACTTGTTCTCAATTTGCTGATTTTTTCCCTCCGGTTGCCAGCTGTGAACATCATCCCCACCCACTCTATCCAGGATTCGCTTTTTCAGAAATGGCATCCAATTGGAGATGCACAGGTCTGAGGTGGTTTTTTTCATTCACAGGCTGGGATCACACTTACTGGACAGAAGGAATTTATCATACAGTGAAGCATACCCCACCCTATGCCCCAAGAATACGAAACAGTAACCAAGAGGAATTTGCAGATGCCTGCAGAAGGATTCCTTCTCCATATCTACATGTTTACAACCTTCCGTTGAAGGAGAAAATGCTCTTGTTCTCTAGAGACTGGTAATAGACATATATTAAGATCTGACATACATTAAGATCTGGGAATCCTGACTAGTCCAGTCTCTTAGCCAGAACCTCAGCATCCCCCTTACCTCATCGAGACATCTCTCATACTGTTCCCTTTGATTTTCATTTTCCAAAGCCAACGCTGAATTCTCTGCCTGCAGTAAAGATACAAAAATAATACAGCTAAATCAATGAAATGTTGTGTTATGTGACAGCTTCTTCAATACAGTTACTAAATATAGCTCCTCAGGATCCAAAACAATTTTGTAGAAGAATCTTTGACAAGTTTGTTCTAAGTACTATTATAAATATTTCAGGGATGGCTTCCATCTTATCAGCTTGTTCACAAAAAAGACATTATCATTGAAAGAAATGCAAAACTTGATATTCTGAACAGGTAGAAAATCAAATCATGGCCTGATGTGGTGAAAGTGTTCTGTATTACTGATGTGAAAGGGTTCTGTAAAAAAGATTACAACGTTTATTTCATTCGATGAAAATGTAAATGTAAGAAGTGCCTTAATCCACTTCATTAAGACCTGTCACGGTTTCACAACTTGAGATTTGTTTAGGTCATGAAAAAAAAAAATCTCAGGTAAATTTCCGAAAGCGTAATTCCAAATGCAGACTAAACATGTTGTTTCCCTTGTTACTCAGTGACTTTTGACCATGAGACTATACTGAGAAATTGGAGAAATAAACTATACTTGAGTCCCTCTGACCTCCCTTCTCTTTTTAAAAGTGCTGCTTTCCTGCTCCTCTGACCTTGTGGGTACCTGAATGTTGAATAGGTTACTATGGGTTACTAGGGTGAATATGCTTACTAGGTTATTAGCAAAATAATAAGAATAAAAGTCATCAGTAAAAGCATATTAGGTTTTAGAAGAACCATGAAATCGTAGCATGAGAACTGCCCTCTGCATTAGGTGACCTGGGTTCACTCCGGCCACTGCTGGCCCCAGCCTGCATCCTGACCTAAGTTCCCTTTCCCATGGCTGCCCCCTCAACCCCCCCAGCAAATCCCACCCACCCCTCACTACAACCCTGCTGACATCATTCTATTTACTCATTTCTTTAACCCTACAGTGCACACAAAATTGTTACACTACAAAAAAAAGACAAATTCATAATTTCTTTTTTCTTTAGAATGCAGGTATATAGTAAAAATACTGTGTTCACACGATACTAGACCAGCTTGCCCCCACCCCACACACTTTAGTGTGGCTATGCTCTTCAGTTCCTTTGTTTCTGACAGTAGTTGAATTTAATTTCCCTTCTTCTTGTTGGTTTCAATTTATTTTCCGAATATGGAAAACGTTAATGATTCCAAAAGTCAAAACTATACTAAAAGGAGTGAGGAGTCACTTCCTTTTCTACCCCTTCGAGCCCATCCCACCCCCCTCGGACCAGTTCTTACATGGCTGTCATTACTTCCCTGGCTGTCTCACTCTACTGCTACCATCTAGGTACCATCCTGTGCCTTGCCCCCTCCTATTACACATGCAGCAGTCAACTTTCCCCTCACACTTTTCCCCTACAATTCTCTAGTCGTATTCTTTCTATTTTATCAGAGTTGATCACTTTCGCGTGCTATTCTTCCACCCTTGCCCTGTATATCCTTGTTTTAGCCTCTTTACTGGATGATGATTGGGGAGGTTGGTCTTATATGTCTCTTTTATTTCTATAGCATCTTGAAAATTTCCCTCTTCTTTTCCCCTTCACAATCACATTTCCAAATGGTACCTCTTCTCTCTCTGCCTCCTTTCCCCCAGAAACACTGCCTCACTGAGATGGTCACCTTAGGTTCCACACACTTTCAAGCCCTGCCCACAGCCAGCCCTGGGAACCACATCTCCATCTGTGATCAGATTTGAGCTCATGGTGTCACAACTTCTCTTTCTGGGGGTGCTTTCCTTGTACCCTCTGCTACCACCGCCCTGGGACACACAGGCTTGCTGCCAGAGTGCTGTGGGTATTTGATGTTTATTTTCCTATGGACAGCAATTTGATGTCCTAGTGTTCTGTTTTCTGGTAACATAGAAGATTCTATTTGTGCTTGGTTGATTTAAATCTTTTTTTTTTTTGGTAGATATATGAAAAGTTTCAGATTTAGGCCCATTTGTTACTTAACAATGAAACTCAGGTGGCCTGACTGAACTAGGATGCGCACAAAAGGTGAAGACAATGGATGGCAAACAGTCTGCTGGGAGATGCTCTAGCCACTGTCGGATCACCTCAGCCTAGTCGTCATTCAAGGCTGAGGAGCCAAACTCCTGTTACTTCTTTCAGTCTCAGTTCTAATACTTGGCTTTGATCTTTTGCCTCTGGGCTCGAATCCCTGTTTTAGCAACTCCCCTTAACTCCCCAACACTCCCATCCCTCTGGTGGATCCCACCATGTTCACTCCATTCTCAGCACTGACACATGTCTGTCCTGAAGCCCCATCCTTCTTCCTGACATCTGTTTGGATTTTTAAGTGCTGGTTATCCCTAGACTGTTCTATCATTCCATTCACCACCCAAACTAAACGGAAAGCTTTTCCTGACCTGCTGCTGTTCCCTCCAGGCCTTGCTGTGGCCTGTCACACAGAACCTCCTTCCGCATGCAGCAGGTGTAACCTCTCAGCTCCTCTCCCAGCCCAGGTGGGCAGGCTGAGTCCACTCCATTGCCGTTGACCTAGCCATACCAGGTTGTGTAACCTTCAGCAAGTCATTGAACCTTTCTGGGTTTACAGTTCTTTAGTAGTTAATGAGCAAAAGGAATGAACTAGCCATTTCACAAAGTGACTTCTGGTTCCCATATTTGGGTACTATGAATCATGGAGAAACTGCTAGAATTTCAATCTTATAAAGTCACTGCTTTCTTTGGAGAAATTTAGCTTTCCTGGGGTCTGCCGCATTTAGTAAGGCCACAGCACAAAGGATGACGTGGAGAGAGAAAGGAAGGAATAGCAACACCAGTTTACATTGCTTTCACTTTTAACATCTTGGAAAAACTGTGTAAGGAAATAAAATTGAAAATGGGAATTTATATGATGTCTACATTTCTCTTCTACCCACAATATCACGTTGCAATAACACTCCAATTGATTCATTCAGATAATTACCATCATTACACCATTTACATTACTTGCCTCACGTTTACTGCTCTGACAATCTCTTACAGGCAAGCAAATTAAATACCTAAAGGATGCTGGTGAAGACACAGTAGTCACATTTCTGGTTAATGTGTTCAGTTGCAGCGACCAATTTAATTGATGTAATCCTACATATCCCAGGGGACGATGGAGATATTAGCAATTACGCCAGTGAAGTTAAAATAATCTTGAAGTCATGATTTTCTTTAATCCATTTGTGTTTATTAGAAATTCAGGATTAACCTGCTACCAACAGGAGACAACAGGGGGGAAAAATAGAAAAAGAAAAAGGAAAACTTAATTAAATTTGATTTAAAGAGATAGTGACTATTTGTATGGCAGGGTTGAGAAAGGATAAGGCAGAGGGGGAAAGAAAATATAGGTGTCACTGCTGAGAATTACTGAATGACCACACAGGCTTTGTCCACTTTCAATAAGCATGTTATTAAATCAGTGTACTCAGAGGACGTCATTAGAGCCTTCAATCAAATGTAGTAGTCGGTCTTTGGGTTCAGCTTTGTCTTCCACAGCCATCAACAACTTTTGCTAGACTTAGTAGTGCCTGATTGAGAGGATTTCCTGCTCTGTGTGGTTTTCTCATAATTCCAAATTATAGGGATCTAAATATGTTTCCGATTTCATCCCTGAAGTCCTTAAAGGTCTTTACAAAACTGAAGAGCTTCATGGAGTAAATCTACATTGCTTTGGTGTGCCGTGGAAAATGGGTCTGACTGAGTATATATTTAAAAGGAACTCTGTTTCTTAAAGGCCCTGCTCTGTGAATGGACAGGCTGGCCAGAGCTGACAAATGATTACAGGGACCAAGGCTTCTAAACCACTGCTCTACATGAAACTGCTAAGTGCTTATTATGTCTAAATCTTTCTCAATACATCTGTGATGCCTGAATGTTTGTATCCTCCCCAAATTCATATGTTGAAATCCTAATGCCCGAAGTGAGGGTATCAGGAGGTGGGGCCTCTGAAAGGTGAGTAGGTCATGAGGGTGGAGCCTCACGAATGGGATTGGAATCCTCACAAAGGAGGCTCTGAGGGTTGCTAACCCCTTCCCTCCAGCGAGGACACAGTGAGAGGGGGCAGGCTATGGCCATGAACCAAGCAGAGGATGCTCACTGGCATGTGACCATGCCGGTGTCTTGATCTTGGACTTCCTAGCCTCCAGAATGGAGAGAAATAAATTTCTGTTACTTATGAGATACTCAGTCTGTGGTGTTTTGTTATAGCAGCCTGAACACACTAAGACAGTATTCTTTTCTACAGACCAAAGGTAGAACAGTTCTACACAAAAAACTTTCCTCTGCATAAAATAACAACTCCACTAGGATTTTCACCTCTTACACTCTGTCCCCACTCATCTATGCAACACGTATTTGGTGCTGGATAGCATATGCCACCTCTCAGATCAGGCCCAACCCCTGTTCATCTCACGAAGGTCAAGTTCTTATTCCCTGGGCTACATCTTTTGTTCCACTGTTCTAGATGGAATATGCTTCACTTTCCCATTGGCCCTTCTAAATTCTACTCATTTCTTGTGGTCTGGCTAAGATCTGAACCTGAAAACTTAAATGGGGGCATATATTTAAATTAAAAAGTAATTTCAGATGAATAGAAAGGTTTCAGAAACATTACAAAGAATTCCCCTCTACCTTTTACTCACATTCCCCAAAGGTTAACTTTGACCACACTTGCCTTATCCTTTGTTTTATGGAGGAAAGAAGAAGGTGGAAAGAGAAGGATGTCCTCTGAAGGGGAAAAAGGAAGAGAAGAAAAACTCCAATTCACAATAGTTAAAAGGGCTGCAACAACCCTGTGGCTTCCCTTCTGTAATAGCCGGCCTTTTACAGAATGACATCTTCCCAGCTTGCAGAAGACCCTTCCATTTAGCAAAGGCAAACAGGTTAGGATAAGGTCAGGAAAAAGGCATTTCTCTAAAAATCACGGTTTGTGAAAGCGCACTTGTCTACGATCGCACCTCTAAACAGAGTCCTGTGGCACGTGAGC